GCCCTGTAGCTTACAAACTCAAACTACCTCGCGAACTCAGTAACGTACATTCTACTTTCCACGTCTCGAACTTGAAAAAGTGTCTGTCCGACGAGACTCTTCTAATCCTACTCGACGAGATCGAGATCAACGAGAGCCTCAACTTCGTGGAAGAACATGTAGAGATCATGGACCGAGAGGTCAAGCAAACGAAGCAAAGCCGTATCCCGATAGTGAAGGTTCGCTGGAATGCCAAGCGAGGACCTGAATTCACTTGGGAGCGCGAGGATCAAATGAAACTGAAATATCCTCATCTTTTCGCTTAGTTATTTGTAACTTCTTATTTACTTAAACTCTAATTTCGGGACAAAATTCTCTCTAACGGGGGGATGATGTGACAACCCGAAATTTCTATCTTGTACAGTTATTCAAATCAATCAAGGTCATACTCGTTTTTGCTATCTTCTAGCATTGTTTAGCGTCAATTTGAGTGTTCAAAGCCTAGTTTAATCAAGGTATGGGGCTAGGGATGAGTGTATTTGAGGTCAACACCTTTCAATTGAGCCAAACACCCCTTCATGAGGTGTGTGCGGTCGCACACATGGGTGTACGGCCGTACACCCATCCTAGCCGTACACTCTCATGTATAAATGAGAGTCTTAGCCTCCATTTACCTCTTTTCACACTCCTAAGCCAAGAAATCAACTTCTCTCTCAAGTATCATCCGATTTTCATCTAGATCTTCAAGTTGTAAGTGTTTCTTCCTTTGTTTTGTTGATTCATTACACAATCTAGTAAGGATCTATTATTTCATCCATGAAATTACTCCTTTTGATAGATCTTCAAGTGTTCTCCAAGAACACCAAGAACACCTACTAAGTTTTTGGACCTCAAACACCCCTAAGGGTTTCTATATCGTAAGTACCACTCCTTATGCTTGTTACTTACTAGTTATACTCCTTAGAAATCGTCCAAACCATGATCATCAAGGGTGTACGGCCGTACACTCCTTGTGTGGCCGTACACACCCTTTTTAAGGTCCAAAATGGTAACAAACTTCCATTAAGGCTAAGCATTGGTCAAAACACACTTCCTAGATGCTTAATAAGACTTTAAATCACTCAATGGCGTGTTTCACCATGAGTGTGCGGCCGCACACCCACTTGGGCCGTACACTCTGGCTGTACACACACATGAAACATACCATTCTGGTCGTACACTCCAAGGTGTGGCCATACACCCATTATATGCAACCATTGGTACTTCTAACACTTCAATCTAAGTGTTTCCTATGTCCTAGGGTGTCTTTTCCTTACATGATTAGTTGTTTAAACACTAATTATATACATATATGTGTCATTATATGCTTAATAGGACCCGTTGTGCTCAAGTCTTCACTTGACACTTAGCATCCTTCAAATCGATCTTTCATTCGTATCACTCACTACAGGTGAGTTCATACCCCTTTAACTTACCTTGTAAATGATTTTAAATGCTTTTCTGGGGGAGAATACAAGTAGAAACATTATAGTTATTATATCAATCACATGTGATTTATAACTATCAAATAATGGAATTCTTATACTTCAAACTGTGTTATCAATCAAATTGCTTCAAATCGTTTTACAAACTCTTTTATATGCAAAACTCTTTATCAAACTCTTTTAAACTTATATTTTGTCAAAAGCATATCTATATAGATATAGTTATATAAGTAGGATTGAAAGGACTTAGGACTGATAGCTCGTCTTACTTCCTGTTCCTTGTTTGGTTGTGGACTTAGGGTATCGGTTGTTTGTCCGAAGGTCGTTTGAATCTTAGTTATATATTATGTGTATGTATATAGATATAAAAGTTCTTCCTTCAATTCAAGACCTTTGGGTAGCAAAGGTGTACAAACATGTTTATTCATACAAACAACATTTCTAGTAAACTATAATAGGTATAGTTTAGGAAGTCACTAATACTATTACTAGAACAATGAAACACACAAAGAGTCAGTTCATACATGAGTCAGTACATACTACAAAGAGAAACATATAGAGAATACTATAACGAGAGACAATACTCACTATAAAGAGAAACAGATAGAGAATACTATAACGAGAGACAATACTCACTATAAAGAGAAACAATACACACTATAATGAGAAACAATACATACTACACACTATACACTAGAGAACATACTACATACTAGACAGAGAGAACATACACTACACTAGTACATACTATACAAATACAAGAATACTATAACATTAATGTGAGATACTACTTCATGGCTCGGCAAGATACTGCTGCGTCACATTTTGTACCCAGAGTCTCCTGGAGGGAGAGCGTGAATTTGTGTATAGATCTATACGGGACTGACCCTCCTACACCTTGCTGTTAGCTACAGTGGGACCTACAGGTCTACGGGTGACGAATGTCATATCATTTCGACGTCTCGAACGTCGTGTTATACTAGTCAATCAAGTATGGTTACAATCATATCACATTTTACCTTAATTAACTAACAAGTTAAAGGTAGTTAGTACATTAGTAGTTACCTAGATAAAACTACAGTACATCTTTATTTTCCCAATTCATTCACATTGTGATCTTCTCACATAAACGGTAATGAGAAACTATATTTTGGTAATGATAGTCATACTTTGGGAAAACTCACACTTTTACAAAAGAACAAACATAGAGAACAGTTGAGTCTTGGTAGAAGACTACTTTAGTAGAAAATATAGGATTTTCTAGGAAGTTTACAAACACTTACATCAAACATTTACAAACTTTTACATCAAACCTTTACAAGCACTTCTTCAAACTTATACAAACAACGACACTAAAATACTTATGAACTCACCAACTTTAATGCTGATCTATGCTTTCAAAATAACTTGTATTCTCAGGTCGCCAGTAGACAGGTACCGATGACCAGGTTTCTGAGAAGATGGAGCACATTCAAGACTCATCTTTTATTTTGGTTATACATTTTGGTGTCTTATAAACTTCAGAACACACTTGTATTAAAATTATACTATTAATGCAATGGATGATGTTGTTATTTGTTTACTATTATGCATTGTTGTGATACTATACATGACGTCCTCCGCCCCCCGAACGTTTCCGCCGTTCCGGTTTTGGGGTGTGACAGAGTCGGTGGTCAATTTTGAATGCACGTCCAGATTATGGACCCATTTTGGATCCTCGCGACAAACACGTCACGTTTTTGGTGGCCGAATAGTTTACCGATGTTGCTAAGTTGGTATTGGTATCACGTGGTTGACAAAATGTTGAAATCGTTGACATCAATTTTGTGTATATTTTTAAAATTTTCAAATACGCCATTAAATTTGGTGCAAACCGCTCGTAGTTCACGCCATTTTCCGTTGACCGCGTCGTACGTCCGATATGGGCGATTTCCTAATTGTGCGTGAAAGTGGTCTAAAATACGATTCCAAAAACTTTGTGTCGATTGCACGTTGTCGGTTTGTTTGTCTTCGGATATGAAAATCCAAGCTTTCGCTAAAGCTTCCTCTTCTTCTTTGCTCGAACCCCGAGTATTTTTTTACCATTTCCTTTTTTTTGTCTTTTTTTAGGAGATGGTTGAGTTTCTTGGACCCTTTCTTCATTGTCATCGTCGAGGTTTACAGGTTGAGATTGAGAAAATGAGACTTGAGTTTGGGGTTGAGATGGTTGTGTTTGGAATTGTTGAGGTTGAGATGGTTGTTGTTGAAAAACTTGGAACTAGAGATGATTGAATTCTTGCGGTATAGGTTATTGGAAGTAGTTTGGGTGGTGTGGATGGTTGGTGAATAGAGGTTGTGTAAGAAAATAACCCATTAATGTGGCCATCAGACTATTTTGTAATGTTTTGATGTGTTGGGTACAATTATATTTTGTATCATAATATTTGTCATAATGACATTTCAGTCCCTAGACTTGAGTAAATGTAGTATGATGGATATGTCATGAGTCTATAAATTGAGGGACTACTTTTGTGTGGTTCTAAATTATTTCCCCTAAGGTGTTAATGATAAATTTATCACAAGCAATACATAAGATCAGGATACTCAAAGGTCTCCCTTACATTTTGAGACCTCCTTATAAACACCATCATCTTGAGTATCAGTGCGTGTGAGAATATCTATCCATCAGAATATCGGTAAACACCATTACGGGAAGAAAGGAATCAGAACATGGCATCGTCTTCTTCAAAACATTCACTTCCAAGTAAGTACCAACAATTCCTTAAGAAACTTTTGTATACTGATATTGATCATGTCTGTAAAAGTCTTCATGCAGTATCAGAGAGGTTTGAATTAAAGTTTATTATGATCTGATTTCAAACTTCATTTTGTTTGCTGGAAATACGTTGCCTTACTGAAACAATTCTGAAACATAGAACAAAAGAAAGTTTCATTAAGAGATTTCATACTAAATTAGAAACACAAATTATCTAGTGGAGATATCTTTTGAACACCATCTCAAAAAATATGTGAAAACAAATGAAAATGTCTGCCTCCAATCTTTCTTTCTGAAAAAAAAAACGACTTCTAAATTGATCAAGAGGACTCGTCATCCTTCAAAGGCAGACAGGCTCATCCGCAGCACACTACTAGAAAAAAGGTTTCCTTGACATACAATATCTGTCGTAAATGCCTATACATGACAGACAAATGTCTGTCATTGAAAGCCATGTCATAAAGGAAAATGAGAGGCATTTGGCCTGTCATAAACTTTACGACAGACTTTTATGACCAACAATTAAGACATACATACACGACATGCATTTTTGACATTCATTTACGACTGACTTTGTATGTCATAATTCGTTACATTTTTGTAATTACGACGGACATTTACGACTTCAAATTACGACATATGTTCTGTACAATATGATTTTTGACATTTTTACGACATACTTTTCATGTCATGGTTATATATATATATATATATATATATATATATACCAAATCTTAATCAAACTAAATTACATATTTAATGTCTAATAACGCAAAATAAAGCATCATACATATATAAAAAGACTTACACGAACTATAGTGTCAAATTCAAAAATACGGTCCAAATTCAACAAAAAGTAAATGTCAAATTCAACAAAAAGTAATTGTCAAATTCATCTCTCTTCCTTTCTGTGTGTCATCATACTGCAGACAACAAAATGCATAATATTTATTATTTAATAATTCCAAATGTGTAAAAGATTTATTAAATGATAAAAATCTTAATTTATCTTTTACCACTCCCTCTTGTTTTGCTGCCTCATAACGGTTGCATGCATAAAAACCACCTGTTCTTTCACCATAATCAGACCATGCACCAAAACAAAGCCTGAAAAATAAGACATTTGACAAGAATTTTATATTAAAAAAGAATCCATAATTATGAAAAGTGCATTGGAAAATAAATAATAAACTTACCAGCAGAATTCAAATTTGCAAGGTGGAGTACAAAAAACATGAAGCATACATTCCAACAAAAGCTATATGAGCAACCATAGGTAACATCAAATGTTCCACCACCAACAATGAAGTCCACATCATAGTCACAACCAGGGGCAGGACACCATTTTGTCTAAAATCAATAGAAAAAAGGATAATATATCAGTGAATAAAGGGAATAATATGTGATAATTTTTAATTATAATAATTTATATTACCTTTCTATTGTCTTCCACAAAGGATCTAAGAAAGTAACATTGATATTTCTCTGCATCATCATGTGAGACCATGGAAACAATCATTTCTTGACCAATAGCTGCACCACAAGATGGATCAGGACACCTCAGAGTCAAGCATCCAGGTCCATCATTGATGGAAGTACTTATATATCCTGCATACATTCAGAAAAAGAGAACAAAATAAAACCAGGGACAAACTTGTAATTGTTAAGATATATGTGTATATATGTATATATGTGTGTAAGAAGCCAACTTGCCACAAAAACTACCTTAAATATGATTATATTAGGACATCCAAGCTTTTTCTATTTAAAATCCCAATTCAAGATTTACAAAGTTATTTTCCAAAAGAAAGACTTTTCATCCATGCGATTAAAAATATTTGGTTGCACTATTTTCATAAAAACCCCTAAAACAAAAAATCAGCAATTTAAGATTAGCTAGTTAGTTTCCTAGTCCTAAGTCCTTATCACTTTAGGCTTCTCTAATGTATACTTTATTTAAACAATCGGTCCATATCAACAAAAGTAAGCAAGCATTCAGCTTCAATCTCAAAGTATGATTTGAAGTATATTCATTTGTTCTCTGTGTTCTTTACAAAAAGATTGCAGTTCATCGAGTTTAGGGTTTTGTAGAGGATGAAGAAGATGACGACAAAATGGTCAATATCATAGAATTGATGAATAGTTTGTTAACTTAGACGACCCAAATACTAAAAGTGTTATTAAACAACAAAATAGAGACTCAAAAGGGAAGAAAAAAAATATTCTGCTGGAGTTATTTGAAAATCCGAATATGATATAACTTGATAATTCCATTTATATTTCAGTGTTCAAATATATTGTGAACTAGAGATCAAGAAATCCGACTTGGTAATGGTCGACTGTTTTGTAAACAGAAGATTTTTAACATGATTGAAACCAACATGGATTCATATACACAAGGATAAAACCAGGAATTGAGGGATGAAGAACTAACCTGTAATCCAATCTGTGTTCTTGCTACATACACATACAGCCAAATACCACCACAAAACCACCTACATCTTCAATCCATGGTTCTTGATAACTTCACAGATGATCAAGGGACTAGAATTTTCGTCAAGAAATTACCCGAACCCAAATACCCTTCACTCAGGCAATTGATCGAACACTTGGTGGGCAGTTGGTTTCATAAACAAAATTACCACCTACATCTTCAATCCAAATACCCTTCTACCCTACCTGTTTCAACCAAGACACAAATCCAATCAACAATTAAAAAAGATGAAGAACCAACAAACAATTTTAAAAAGATGAAGAAAGAACAAACAATTTTAAAAAACCATTGCTTACCTGATGTTGCAGAAAGAACAAACGATTTTAGAGGGTGTTCCAGTCTTCGTTTTCATTCCAACCAACATCACATGTTAGCAAAGGGTCCTCCATCCATGAGAAAATAAAAATCAACTTAACAGCTCACATGTTAATAATCAATTTTGACTTCAAATATTATGCTCACATATTGATAACAAACACCGAGCAGAATAATGGTGACTCAAAATCATCTCGAAAGATATATCAGAACAGAACCAAATAAAGGTGAGTCAAAATCAGCTCAGCTCGTTGAAATCAGATTGAAAGTCAAAATAAGCTCGTTGATAAAAAAAAGATGCAGATTGAAAGTCAAAATCAGCGATCTAATGTCGTTATAAGTTCTTCGATTTTTTCTATTAAATTGAATACTATTAGCGATCTAATGTCGAAAGTCAAAAATCAGAACAGAATAATTGAACGAATTGATAGATTGAAGGAGAGATTGGAAGCTGTCGACGAACCGGAAGCTGTCGACGCGATGATCGGAAGAGAAGCTAAGGTCGACGAGAAGCTGTCGCCGTTTCACATCATTCGTTGAGTCGAGAGAGGGAATGCGATGTTTTGACTGCACATAAGATTGAATGAGAAATTGGAACGAACCCTAGCAACAATTGTTATATTTTGACCATTTTGCCCTTAAAATGATTTTAAATTACGTTGACCTGAGTTGACCGAGTTGAGCGTCTAGCTCCGCCTAGATATGATTATCTCCGGCTTTGACCGACTTTGACCCTTCCGATTACACAAGCCGATTACACAAGCCGATTACCTCTTCAGTCGAGGTCCGCCTAGCGTCTAGGTGCCGATTAATCGGCCACCTAAGCCGATTTCTGCAACACTTTTTTTCACAAAATAATTTAAATTAAAATGCCCTTGTCATCGGGCGTGTACACATAAAATATTACAGAAATAGCCATTGCATTCTTCTTTGTTATTCACAAACCATTCAAGTTGTAAAAATGGTCTTTCTAACTCTTATAGTTTTTTTGTTACGGAAATGGTCTTTCAACTATTTTTATTTTTTTTACAAACCATTCAAGACACTTATTTCATTTAAAATTTTGATGTTTTTCTAGCTATTATCATGCATAATTTTCCTTTATATATATATATATATATATATATATATATATATATATATATATATATATATATATATATATATAGGATTTTCTACCATGCATCGTTTTTTAATATATAATAACTATTATTTGTAGGTTAGCAAACAAAAATAATGCTTACCTAACATACAGGTTAGACAGGTCATTCTTCAGGTTTTTTTGGGTGTATTCACCAAAATATGATTTTTTTTTTCTCAAACACGCTGTCGTTTTGTTTTTTTCCTCACACCAAAGTGGAGCTTTTTCAAATTGGTTCGACTGTTTGAGTTTTTTCCCCTACGTTGTCATTAGTTTTTTTGCACTAACCTAGTAGTTTGTTGGTTTTAATATTTAACTCACATCCTTTAAACTTACTTCAATTTTTTTCATACTATATAGTGCTCATGTACTTGTTGACATAGCATAATTGTATTATTGTTTGCTGTTACTGACTTTTCCTTATAGTATTAACGGATAAAAATCATTTTAATTTACTCTTTAAAATACGACATAAAATTACGACATATATTTTTGTCTGTCGTAAATCATTGATACTTTACGATATATGACATAAATATTATGACAGACTTGTTTTGCCAGTCATAAAAGTGTTGTATGTCGTAATTCGTCTGTCAAGAAAAGCCTTTTTTCTAGTAGTGGCAGGGGTTACACGTTGTCCGCACCAACAGTTCCCTCTTACTCCAAAAGCGTAAATCCAATTTAGAGCTCCCATACATTTTAGATTTATCTGTTACTTGTTTATTCACAGAATGGAGTGGATATATTTTGAAACTGATTTGAAACCTTATTGAAAATATGAATGGGCCGACCCAAAACAATAAGTGGATTCTTTACTGGTCCACTACTTTGGAAATGAGTTTGGACGGTTTTTCCATAGCATCTAAAAGAAATTTATAAAACGTTGGGTATTTTTTTTTTCCAATTAAATATACTTTGTTGTTGAGCAAACTAGCATTTCTGTAAGTACTTGTATACTTATATGTATATTAAAAAAAGGTTATGAGTTTTTGACGTTATATGACGTTACTGAAGAATTATAGATGCTTAAGATTTTATCTATATTTAAACGAACCTTGTTCTGCTACAGTTAGTATTTTCTTATATTAGTTGTTTTGAGTTAATTGAATTATAGACACACCAATAAAGTATAATACGATTAATCTTTACAATATCCTAGCAATATCAAATAGTCAATATTGTCACTTAATAATGTTTGACAATATGTCGAGGATTCTTTCATTTTGGTGTTATTTAAAGTAATGGTTGCAAGGATTATTATCATCATACGTATATTAGACTTCAAACCTTCATTTGAATGCCTATGATGGTTTCTTTTCTTTGAATACACATGACCAATAAAACATGTCATTTTGATTTTATTCTCAATGTGACATTCATATACAATCTAATTTAAACATATTACATATCATATTCACATTTCTATATGTATCTGTTTTACACAGCATTCATAAATAAACACCGTTAAATATATCTTAATTTTATACGATAATTGGTAACTTTGATGTTAGACTTAAGTGACTGGACCAAAGAAAAGTTACTTAAGTTTTCGATATTGGAGTTAATTAAACACCACATTAAGCAGTTGATTGGATTATTTTTCAAGGAACCCAAAGGCTAATTGGTTAATGATTCAAACAACGAATTTTCAGCATAATATGCATAAATATTGTATTTTTGCCCAAAGGTGATTGCAATATTTATGTGGCATAGCATAATTTTAGGACGTCATTATATTCAATTGTTGGTCTAGCCAAAGCAAAACTGATAATTGAGTAAGGTGTTTTCATGACCTATTATTTTGTTGTTAAAAATAGGTATATTGATATGTTTTATTATGTCATCCCATGAAATCATTTTAATATCAATTAAAAATGACATGACTTAAGTGATAAGGATAACTATCATAAGGTCCAAAATACGGACACAAGCAAGCCTCAAAGAAACCTCGTTGCAAATTTTGCCATAACAAATGGCATACTTAATGAGATTTCCATAAAAGGAAATAATGGCTTGGAAAGAAAGGTAACTTATATGCATTTATGATTTATAAGTTCATTGAACTTAACGTCACTATAAATACATGATGGATTTATTATCACTTCCATGACATATGTGTTTTTTTAAAGTGATTCCATACAATCTGAAAGTTGGATTGAAATCAAAGAGCAAATAAAGTTCGGAATGATGAAGACTTTAACATAGAAGTAGCTGACCCACCTACGTTAATTTTTGTAGAAAGTGGTTATTGTTTAAGTTTTAATGATACTCTATACGTATCGAATTTAAGTTAAAACTAATTATTTGTATCCAAGTTAAAACTAACTATTAGTTTTAATTTCCCTACTGTTGGACATGGTTGTTTGGAGGGATGCCACTAGGGGTTGTATAATTAAAACAACTATTTTATGGAATCCTTAATATCATTTAATACTGATGAGAACTTAAGGAAAAGAAATTGGAAAGTAGAGACTTTATCTACACTGACATTAACGCTTAAGCAAAATATCACAAAGTATATGATATGTCTCGAAAAAAATACAAAGTTCTATCATAACTTTACTTTTCAAGATTTAATAAATGCATTATTTGTAGACCTTTCCCAACAGACATAAATGGTTATAAATCATATAACCTTTTTTGATCACTCCTTTTACCTATATACATGCATGCTGCATGAAAAATCCAAATCTCCTAAAATGCTTGAAACCTTTTGGGAAATACTTGAAAATTAATTTGACCCAAAAATACGAGTAGAGATATGAGACGTGGGTAGTGTTTATAATGGTAGGCATACATACATTAGTGAAGGACACTGATCTTTCTTTGAATTTTGTATTAACCAATACACCATGTTGGGTCAGCCTCCTACAAAAGTGTGTAGGCAACAGGGTGAAAATCGTAAAAACTCGGCATGGAAACCATAAGTTGCTTCTCCATCAGGTATCCTAAATGGTCTAAATGTTAATGATTTTATGTTATAGATACGAAGCATGTCGAATTTCTTGAGAATGTCAAAATCAGTGGGAGTGGTTTATTGAACAATTTTGACCTCCAAGAACCTAATAAAGAGACAACTAAATTTCAAATGTGCATTATGCTTCTGCAGCGCATTAGGATATCCAAGTCAATATATTTTTCCTCATAAAATGATCTCATTCAATAGATTGACATTGAAACACATGAAATTCAATAATTATAATACATTTTCTTTAAGTTAGGTGGCTCACAAATTTTGACGATTAAATAACCTATTTAATGAGGTTGATCTTCACATAAGGAAGGAATATGACTCAATTATGTATAGTGATTCCATAACTTGTGATCAATCAAGTAAGTGGAGTGAAGAGAAGATTAAAGAGCTTTGATTTGGTATAAAAGAAAGATGTTTGGGCATTTGCTGAATTACCAAAGGGTTTTTTCAAACCCATAAGATGCAAGTCGGGTCCTTAAGAGCAAGTTGGACTCCAATGATTAACATTGAATGACATAAAGCTCCATTGGTCATTAAAGGGTATTTATAAAAGGATATCAAGAAACGTTCTTACCTGACTTCCTTAGGATCGTAATGGCCCTCATAACTCATTTTGATTTAGTGTTGTAGATCAAATAGATGTCAAATTATAATTTTTAATAATGATTTACACGAAGATGTATACATGACCCAACCGAGAGGTTTTATTTCTAAGGGTCAAGAACATCTAGTGTTTAAAATCAAGGAATTATTATATGTGCTAAAACAAACTTCGTATCAATGGTATCTAAATCCGGCAAAGTCATAAAGAGGAATGACTTCATTAAGAACTAATTAGATCAACGTATATACCTCAGTTGAGTGGGAGGAAATTTATCATACTCGCTCTATATATAGATGAAATTTTTATTGGCGAATAAATAACATGATATGCTGCATTAATCAGAACACTTACTATCACATCACCTTGATATGAAATTCTCTATGAAGCCTAATATGTAATGGGCATATAACTACATCAAGAAAACTAAAGGATTTTAGTATCGTTCCAAAAGGTATATATCGAGTATGTAGTAAATCGATATAACATGCACATTGCTTCCCTTCAGTTGCTTCCATTGTTAAAGAAGATACTTTTGGTTTATTTCAATACCTAAAAATAGAGGCATAATGAGATCAAATGACTTCAATATATGATGCTTCAGTAGTTGGAAGATTTATGTATGCCCGACTTTGTACTCATCTCAAAATCGCTTATGTTATTGGTATCATATTTCATTATCAATCAAATTACGGTCTAGATCATGAAAAAAAAACTGCCAAGAAAGTTTTATGATTTTTCATTAGACTAAAAATTACAAAATTGTTTATAAAGTAAGTGATAACTTATATGTGCTATGATTTCAGACTCCGACTTTGCAACATGCAAAGATAAATAGTCATTATTGGGATACATATTTGTGCTATCAGTTGGCCAAATATTATGGAAGAGTCCTAATCAAAATTTGAAGATTACATCGACTATGATGACATAATATGTTGAAATATATAATGCAACCTGTCATCTAATTTTGTTGAGAAATTTAATTGCAAGACTCATAATTGTAAATTTCATTTTAAGGCCGATAAAAGAAACTCTATTGCTATAATCTTTCCCCTATAAGTTTTTTCACTAGCAATAATTAAATTGGAGTGGGGCTTTACCTCGATACAAAATATTTGTTCGTTTGAGAGCAAATGGAGGAGAATGTTGTTTGTATGGAGCACGACAACACTTATAATATGCTAGTGGATCCGATAACGAAATGTCTACCACCCAAAGCATTTCAACATATCATTAGTATGGTATTAAGGGTAGACCTATTATAATATAATTCTAGCATAGTGTTTTGATGGAATTTTTTAATTTTAATTTTAATTAT